TAGAGACCTGAAGGACCAGATACCCTATAGAATCATTCTATCACCCCTTTAAAAAGATTTTAAGTTGATAATATTCTCTTTGATGTTTTAGCTCTATAATTAGAGTGAAGTTATTTCACAAAAGTTTTCTGGAAAAACAAACTAGCTGTTCTAAAAAAAGCTTCTTTTCCAGCTGTTATTTTACTCAGAAAAAGGAAACTTCAGTGTTATTATTATTTAAGACATACGCTCAAGAAATCTGAAATAAAACTAATTTAATCTAGAAAAAGGTGATCTAGAAAAAGGGAAGAGACGGTCATTTTAGCGGCTTAAATAATAATTCGCGATTAACGGATTATTGAAATAATCTTTAAAAAACCCGTTAAAACCTGAAATCTCCTGGAAGAAGAACAAACTGTTTAGAAACTAAAAAAATAGAAAGCTTTAGTATTTTAGGATTAAAACATCTTCATTGGTCTGTAAAAATGTTTGAACAATAGTTTAGTTAAACCTCTCCTGGTTCAAACTCAAATTTTCTTTCTGTTTACGATCATTAGCTGCAGGGTTAGTCTGCTAACCTCTGTTAGCTGCTAAGTGAAGCTAAAAAGCTTCATCAGGCTGTAAAAAGTATAAAATAATAAATATGATCGGATTTAGATTGAGTATCTTTTGTCTGTGTTGATTTTATTGTCTAATAGTTTAAAAGTTCAGAACGCATTCATCTAGAAACAGCTAGCTTGTAGCAAGAGTTAGCTATCGCTAGTTTCCATCCAGCGTCTGATTCTCAATCCGCTGCTTAGAATCGGGATGTTTGTAATGAAATATTTACATGTAAAATAAATGATTAGCGATTGAGCGTTGCAGGATTATTTTAGACTTAAGTCTAACTGATCCCTGATATCTGCAGCTGACGTTTTTGGGCTGATTCGTAGCGCCCTTTTTTTCCTCCACATTAACGTGATTGAAATGACGGAACGATAAATGTTACGCAGTTTTCAGTTTAAACAACCCAATATTAAGAAATTAACTGAGATGTTTATATAAAAGAAAACCCGGATCCTCAGGATCCCAGGAATTTGATCTCCTTCTAGCCTCTCTCCCACTGACAATAGCAGGTTAACGCTAACCCGCTAACATTCGCTATTTGGCTCCCTTCCCACTGGCAGAAAAAGCTGGTCTAACCCCTTACAGGCAGCTGCGT